CTCACCAGATTTAGAGAACCCAATCCTACCGTGTCCGGATTGCCCTCCAGCAGCACGTTGATGGCTCTATTAACATCTCCATTGCAGTCATGCAGAGCAATCACACACTCATCCTGGTTCTTGCCTGTGATGTCGATCAGCTGGAGAGGAGACACCACCATGGTCAGCACATTCCAAACCAAGGTGGCACCAAGTCTCTATGGATCTCTTATGGATCCCAAACAAGAAATCTTTCAAAGAAATGTCAGCAGTTGGGAGTCTCCTGCAGCCTTCACAACTGAATTATGCCCCCTCAATGAGAAGTAACTGCTGCTGGAACTTCTGAGTTACCACAACCAGCTTCCAAACTCCCCCTTTTCTCAGGTTAACACCATTCCCTGCATTCTGTGGAAGAAGTCTGTCCAAGGAAATTCAGGGAGCCGGCAGCCGAGTCCCTCCCACCTCCCCCAGGCAGTCACGGTAGTTGACATTGATTCTGCCTTCCTGCCAGGGCTCATCCTCACTTTCCACACTCACTTGTTTCACCTTCTCCTCAAAGTCAGCGTCATTGTGGTCTGAAATCATCTGTGCAAGTCGAATCTGTTCCGCAGTGGCCTGAAGAAATGGAAGGCAGAGACAGCGGGATTAGAGCAGCACCTTTCCAACAACCCTTCCTCCAAAGACCACTCCACTTCCCTGAGGTCTCTGGGAAGGAATCAGTGGGATGAAGAGGAGGTGTGAACAAGAGTCAGAGAGAGGAAAGCTTCAGAGAGAGAGATGGAAGAGGAGTGAGTGAGGAGAGTCCAGAAGAAAGGGACTCACCAGGCGAGGGACAACCACCTAAACTATCTCCATTCTGAGGCAGACCTGAGCACCACTGGAACATCAAGACTCACTGCAGGCAGCTTCTCCGCCACTTGCATTCATTCAAGTGAACAGGGAATGGCCAGATGGAAATAACCCCAAACCTCAGCTCACAGACACCAGTGTGGAAACCCCACCATCAGGGGCTGCCCAGGTAACTCAGCTCTGCCAGCAGCATCCTGCAGCATGCAGGACCCTGCAGTATGCAGGACCCATGCAGAGGTGGCAGGTCTCCACCTCCAAGCTAACTGGTTTCCATGGCTGCTGCCCTTACCTGTGGCCGCTGCTTGTGCTGTGTCTGGCTCTGTGTCTGTGTCTGCTCCCAGTTCCCCCGGGCTCGGTTAGTGCCCACCGATGTCATCATTTACAGTATATACAAATAACAGTATTTACAAGGTAGAACTCTGTGGTGGGGCAGGGGAGAAGAGAGAACACACTGTTAGAAAACCAAAACAAAAGGCAGCATCAAGAATGAACCACGGCATGGGCGAGGCAGGCAGCAAAGCCATCCCAGTGCCCTCCTTCCCTCCCCACCAGCCACAGCCTCCCATTGCCATGTGCCCCGAGACGAAACTGGCACTTCTGGAGGTTTCTCCACTGACACCACCTCACCTGCACTCAGGTGAGCAAGTGTGTGAGCAGACATGGACTGGCTATGGCCAGGGCGCAAAATGCTTGTTGGACAACTGGAGTAAGGAATGCTTGAGAAAAGCTCTAAAGAAGCTTCATTTAGAGAGAACATCTCACAGCCTCAGACACACCATCAGCTACTTCTCCTTCTCCTTTCTTGCCTTCAAAGCAGGGCAGGGGAAGAAAAGCACTCCAGTAGTAAGTGGTGCTATAGGTTTGTAGGATATTGGTTTAGAGAAACACCACCTTTGTAGAACTGCTCAGTTGTGCTCGCTTCAGTTATTCCTCAGAAGTAGAAATATCGTTTCCTTCTACTGAGTATTCTGGATTAAAATAAAACACTACCAGAAAAGTGAGCTAGATGTCAACAAGGAATTCCAGCCAGTAACACCGCTGGGAACTGCTTGAGTCCAGACATCCCAGAAGAGTTCAGGAATGGGGTGTCCAAAGCTTCTGGAGTTTTGTAACTGCTCGCTGAGCTTCGCAGGAAGAGCCCAACCCAGATGCTTAGAACGGGATCAGCACTGAGCAGTTTCACCCTGCCTGCCATGGCATGAGGGATACCACACACATCCTATGGCACCTGGCATCACATGCTACTTCCAAGCCCCTGAAACCTCAATAATCACGAATTCCACACTTCCAGATTTTATTAACAAGACGGTGACACCTTCCTCCAAAGCAGCAGGATCTGCTCCACATGCTGGTGCTGCAGCAGATGCTTTGGATAGGGAAAGGAGCCCCAAAGAGAGTAAGAACAGGAGGAAACCCGAGTGAGAAACTCCAACCTGAACCGTTGCTTGCAAACAACCAACGTGGCAGCACAGAGCAAGACCCAGTGTGCAAAGCTCAGCATCATTAGCAAACAGCCCAGGAAGAACTGGGGAGTCTCTTGTCAAAGTCCATAAGAGGAGCACTTGACCAGCCTGGGAGATCCTTTTCCGAGAGCATGGAGACCCTACTGTCATCCGCACCGCAGCTCACTGCCCATGCCAGTGCTCCCACTCCCAGCAGCCTCCAGCCTTCCTCTGCAGGCAAGCTTTCAAGGCCAACTGCTCCTGCAGCTTCCCACAGAACCTCAAACGCTCCTCTTCAGGGCCACCCATGCCTCACAGAACGAAAACCACCGTCTGCCAGCTCTACAGCACCAATGTCTCTGACTGGGGAAGCAACCCAAGCTATCTGCCTAGTGAGCGGGAGCTGCCCATGACACCAAGCAGGTTTAAGGAAGAGCATCCAGCCTGGGCTTCACCCAAGGCCAAGCAGCCTCCACACAGGCTTCTTCCCCATGGGATTGCTTTCCCCTCTCCACTGCTATGTCTCTTCCAGTTTTAAGTGTTTCAGGCACAAACAAGTTGTCATATTGAACCAATCTGGCAGCAGAACTGCAGGCCCAGAGGGAAGCAATCCTGTGCCGTTGCAGTAACTTAATCTGGGATTTCAATAGGATACTGTACCAGCAAGTCTACTGCCCCCAACCTTTGTGCAGTGCCTAGGCATTGTTCAAGAGCTTTGCCATTTTCTGCCCAGCTGCATTCCTGGAAATGGTGCTTATTTAACATGCAGAAGAAAAACCCACCCCAAAAACCACAAGCATCATCAGGCAGCCCCCGGTGCGGAGCCTGGTGGAAATGGGCAACCCCACGCAACACCCCACACCACATCCAGGGAGCCAAGACTTTACTCCTCACTTGGGTCACTGTAGTACAGCTCACAGGCCACATTTCACTGCAAACCTTGGTTGTGCTGCCACCTGCCCTGTCCCTGCGCAGAGGGAGCAATCCCATGAGTTCACCAGTTCCAAGCAGCCTTCAGTGTTTGACCTTGCTTTTAAAGAGCAATGCCACATATGTGCACAGAGAGGGAGGCAAGTAAAAAGGACAACTCCAGCCCCAGAAAACCGTGGCTGAGCCACAGCAGATAAACAGCGTTAAAGCAGCCCCACACTTATGTTTCAAGGCAAGAGGAAAGCAATGCATTCCTATGGGATTCAGGGAAAACAAGAAGATTCCCAGCTACAGGTTACAACATCTCTTCTTCTGAGAAGCTGCAGGGAAAAGTGATGCACGTTGCCGTTACCCCCCTTCCTTTTCAGCCTACAGCATCCAGAGAGGAGAGTCTCAGCTACTCAGAACAGGAGGCTCCGGAAAAAGAGGTGATACAAAAACATAACAAACTGTTCATTTTATTAGAAACTTTAGGTAAGTTACAGCTTTAGCACAAGGATCTGGTGGTCACATCCGCTACCCCCAGCTGGCTCAGCCCTGCTGGCTCATGCTGGGAGAGCCCCAGCACATCCCAGCCTCAGTTTCCCTTCTCTGTTCATACAATTGATATCTCCAGCCCCCTCTGACAAAGCTTCATGAACACATGCAAAAACCTCTGAAGCTCCAAAGGAAAGGACCGCAGAGGGCAAAGCATTTGGAAAGATTTTCCTGCAACACAGGGCAGGTCCAGCACCCGAAGGAGCTCGATGACACGATGGGGGGATGGTGGTTTATCAACATTACGAGCTTTCCTCTGGAGCAAACACATTGCAACTGCAAATCGAGCAACCCCTGTGCATGCAGAGGACAGAATTTCGGGGGGATGCCCCAGACACACCACCACGGTCCCGCAGTGGGTACCGCCGTGCAGCGCTTCACTGGGGACACCCACCGGAGCACCCCGAACCGGCCCAGGGCCCCGCGCTGGGGCACCCGCCCGCGGGCTGGGCCTCCTCCAGGGCCGCCAAACCGGCGTCGACCGGGAATGCCTCGCGGAGCCCCTCCGCGGAGCCCGCCCGCGCCGAAGAGCCCCGAGAGCGCTGCGGGGCGGCGCGGCTCCCATTGTTACCGCCAGCCGCGGCGGGGCCGGGCGGGCCTCGGTGGCGCGGCAGGGCCGGAGCCGCCCGGTGCCGCGGCTTAGCGTGCCCAGACCCCCGGCACACAATAGGGGCGAGCGGCCGGAGGGGACCCACCCAGGGCCGTGCGGGAGCCCCCGCGGCGGCGCGACGCCAGGCCGTGCCCGCACCCGGGAGGCGGGCGGGCGCGGGCCGCTTCCGCCCTCATGGCCGCGGCCGCCATTCCCCCCCCCAAACCCCACACCTCACCTCCCCGTCCGCCTCCAGCCCGCCCGCCCTCCCTCACCTGCGGCGGCCGCGCGTTACGCCAGGCCCCGGCTGCGGCCCGGCCCACTAGGCCGCGCGCGGCCCGGCGGTCGGGCCCGGCGGCGGGGCCCGGCGGGGCCGGGCGGTGGCGGGGCCGGGCGGGGTGCGCTGCGGCAGCGGGGGGTGAGGCGGCACAGAGCGGGGGGTGCGGCGGGGTTTACCGGGGCCGCGCGCGGTTCCCGGAGCCGCCGCCGCGCAGCAACTTTACCTGGGTCTCACCACACTGACAACTACCAGCGGCGCCCGCCCCCATCACGTGACGAGGGCGCTCGGGGGGGGACACACACGGAACCGACACGAGGCGGGGCCAGACCGGCACCGTGAGAGAGGGGCGCCTCTCCCTCGTCACGTGGTGGGCGCGCGAGGCGGCTTCGCGGCCGCCATGTTTTGCGGCCTCAGGCCGCGCCGGGCCGGGGATGGCGGCGGCCGGTAGCAACTGGCTCTCCGGGGTGAACGTGGTGCTGGTGATGGCCTACGGCAGCCTGGTGAGCGCGCACCGGCACCGGGGGACCCCGGCCGTGCGGGTCCTTGCGGCCGGCTGTCCGCGGGGACGGCTCTGTGGGGCTGGGCCCGGGGGCTCCGTGAGGCGGGAAGAGGACGTGAGGAGGAGCCTCTGGGGGGGGGTGTCTGTAGGCCTGAACCAGGCCCCTTGGGTTTTGAGGGGTAGATGGCACCTTGTGGTTGTTGGTGCGGGGGTGTCGGTGGGGCTGAGGTGCAGCCTGACCCCCCCGTCCCGCTGCTCCAGGTCTTTGTGCTGCTCTTTATCTTCGTGAAACGCCAGATCATGCGCTTCGCCATGAAGTCCCGGCGCGGCCCCCACGTGCCGGTGGGGCAACACGCGCCCAAGGTGGGTACCCTCCCTCACCTGCCTGCCCCCACCCTTTGGGCTCCCCCACACAAAGTGGCTGCTCTGTAACGTGGTGGTTGGGCTTTCTCCCCCCTTCACTGGGCAGGATTTAAAGGAAGAAATAGACATCCGACTGTCACGGGTGCAGGACATCAAGTACGAGCCTCGGCTCCTGGCTGAGGATGATGGCAGGCTCCTGCAGCTGGAGACACAAGGTACCTGTGGCTGTGCTTCAGTCAGATACCACCAGAGACACTGTCCTACAGCAACTCATTGCTCTGCGGCCGAGTTGCAGTTCTGGCCTCTTGTTGGCTGTCCCAGGGCAGAGCTGGCGAGGCAACACGAGGTGGTGTCTCGGCAGTCTGCTCCTCTCTGCTTTTCCCGCCTCCCTCCCAAGTTGTGCAGAGCTCTCAGGTTGGGTTTTCTCTTTGCCAGGCTGCTATAATTACCTGTACAGAATGAAGGCGCTGGATGCAATCAGAACATCTGGTAAGTGAACTCAGGGCAGGAGGGAGAGGGGAAGGAAAGGTAGAGACCATATGTGGAGGAAATAGGGGGCCAGCAGCCTTGTGATCGTGCTCAAGGCCCTTGTTTGGGAATAGCGTTCGCGTATCCTGTCTGGGACCAGTGCTCTGAGGGTGGATCTGCTTCTGGGGTGTAAGGAGGCTGCAGATGTGGTGGGAGGTTTAATCAGCTCCAAGGCCTGATGTCTGCGGGTGACCAGAACAGTTTGTACCTGCACTTTAGCTGCTTGTGGGGTGCCTTTTCTTTCCCTAGAGATCCCGTTTCATGCAGAGGGCCGGTACCCCAAGTCCTTAATAGGGAAGAACTTCTGTGCCTACCTGCTGGAACTGCGGAACTCCAGCACCTCCTTCAAAGGCATCCGCAAAGCCTTGATTGACACCTTGCTGGATGGGTACGAGAGCGCCCGCTACGGCACTGGGGTGAGTGCTGGCGCTGCAGTGCCCGGGCTGGGCCCTGCTGCAGCCGCTGCTGCTTCTGACATGGTCCTTTCTGCTTATGTCCAGGTCTTTGGGAAACCAGAATATCTCAAGTACCAGGATGCTCTGAATGAGCTGGCAAACATGTAAGTGTTGGTGTCCCTGCCCATGTCAGGGGCTTGGAACTGAATGATCTTAAGGTCCTTTCCAACCCTAACTATTTTCTGAGTGAGTGTCCCTGGCCAGGGGAGTAGCTGGGTGGTGGCTTCATGGGCCCCAGCAGCCCATCACTGAGGTGTGAGCAGAGACACTCCTGAGGCAGCACCCAGCCTCTGTCTGTCCTTCCAAGTATACTTATTCCTTGCAGTCCATATGATGGTGTGGTTTTGGATTTGCTGCTAGTTCCGGTCCATAGTCCTGGTTGTGCTTTGAGCCTTTCCTCTCCCTGCAGGACCAAGGCCCGGGCAGGCAGCAGCCAGCGGCAGCACCAGTCAGCAGCAAAGGACCTTACCCTCTCTCCTGAAGTCTCCAACCCTCCCACCATCCAGGTCACCTATCTGCCTTCCAACCAGAAGAGCAAACGTGCCAAACACTTCCTGGAGCTGAAGAGCTTCAAGGACAACTACAACACACTGGAGAGCACCCTGTGAGCCAAGGCAGAGCTGATTGCACTCCGGGGCCCTGCCACAAGCAGAGCCTCTTGTGAGGTGCAGGCGGGTCCTGAGCAGGTTTTGGCTGCAGTTTGATGTGCAGGGAGCATGGGGAGGAAGCGGCTGTGCTCTTGGGTCTCCCTCTTGCACCGTGTTGGAGGCAGTCACTCAGTGGAGGCTCTGGTGCAGCTCAGCCCTCACCCGGAGCCGGTGTCAAAGCAGCCCCTGATCCTGGAAGGGATTGGCCCGTGCAGCCCTCTCTGCAGGCGTGGGACATGGGCTTGAGGCTTTGAGTCCAGCAACGGCTTGGAGCCCTGGCCCTGTGAATAAACTGATTAGCTTTAGCTTGTTTCTAAGAGACATCAGGCCCAGCCAGAGCTCTGCTCCACCTCTCCTCCTCCTCCTCATGACTGGAGGGGGCTGCTCCTGTCTGTCCATCCTGGCTGTGGGTCTCAGGCTCTGGAGCTGCTCCTCTGCTCTTTCCAAAGGGTGAATGCTCTTTTTCCTGTGGCCCCATCACTGCTGTCAGCCGGGTGTGCCCGGGCTGTGCACCAGGGCTCCTGGACAGAGTGTAAATAGCTTGGTGGCCAGTTCTCAGCCCCTGTGGCTGTGTTTTCTACTGTTTTCTCCTGCAACTGGGCATCTGGGGACATGTTGAGCAGACAAATACCAGCTTCCAACGTCCTGCCTGTCCTGCCAAGAAGGGTTTCCTCCCATTCTCACCAGCGCCTCGTGTGCCAGCGGCTGCCGAGCCCTGGGGGGGTGAAAGCTCGCGGCCCCCACCTCGATGTCTGCATCCTGCCAGGCCGCCAGCAGCCCCCACTGCTCCCCAGTCCAGTCATCACAGCGTGGGGGGAACCCTGCCCCTCGCTGGGCCTCTGCACTCTTTTTAATGGCTGTTTAATAAAATGACAGTTAACCCTGAGCAGGGTGTGGAACATCAGCCTCTGACTGCAGGAAGCCCTCCCCTGCCACATCCAGAGCCGTATCCATCCCCATGCTGCTGCCACGGTAATGGGGATGCTGTTAAAGGTGCAGAGGGTGGTTGTGGTGTCCCTGGAGCAGTGGCAAGCAGGCAGCCCCCCTTGCAGGAGGTGGGATGGGGCAGGGTGGTGGCTGTCCTGGGTTCCTAGGGACAGTGGGGTGCAGCCTTCCCCTTGTATGGGTTGAGCCCCACAACCCCCAGAACGTGTAGCTTTGGTTGCAGGTTCTGGGGAAGGGGGGTACCTGCTTCAGGCTTCTGGAGAGGCTTCTGGCAAAGGGAGCGCCCCTGTGGTGGGGGCATCAGGCGAGGGGGACCTTGGCCCTGTAGACAGGCTGGGGGGACAGAATGGCTTCATAGAACCATGGAATGGTTTGAGTTGGTAAGGTCCTTAAGATCATCCAGTTCCAACCCCCTGGCATGGGCAGGAATCTCAATAGACCATGCCACCCCAGGTTCCGGCCAGCCTGTCCTTGAACACCGCCAGGGATGCAGCATTCACCACTTCTCAGTTGAGCATGAAGCACATGGAGCACGACGGGGGGCTGCGCCTGCTGCACCCTGGGCATTGCCCTGTGCAGATGCAGGGGAAGGAGCAGCCCAGCAGCAGATTCCTGTGGCTGGGACATGCTGGATCCAGGAGGTGGCAGCACGGCCGGTACGCTCCTGCCTGCATCCTGCTCCCAGCATGTGTGGTGCCCGCCTCGGCCGCACGCTGCTGTCCCGTGGGGCTCCCGGCACAACGCACTGGGCTGGCTGCGATGTCCGGGCACCCCTGAGCCCCATCTGCACCCCAACTGAGGGGGCCCATCCCCTTCCTCCCCCCCGCTGCCTCTGCCTGACCTTGGTGTCTCCCAGCCCCAGGGCCCATCAGCGCCTGCCCTGGCTCTGCTTATTGACAGGGCTGGGGGCTGCGGGGCCAGCACCCCCTGCCCACAGCCCTTCATTAGCTCTGCTGTCGGGTTGCATCACATCAGCTCTGGCTGAACACACGCCCCTGGCTCCTGGCACTGCTGCTGTGTCCCTGCTGTCCCCTGTGCCACCTTCCACATGCAGCCCCCCTGGTCCTGGACAAGGTTTGGGCTCTGGCTGCCCCACGGGCAGCCCAAGGTTTAGGCCCCCTCAGAGCCTGCAATGCCATCCCAAGGTCAGTGTTTCCCACTGTGGCGCAGCACTGGCACAGCATGAGGACACACGTGCCCCCAGCCCTCCGAGACACTCTCATGTCTGGATGCTACCAGGCAGGACCCAGCAGCCAGCCCGGAGCAAGCTGGGGGTCCTGCCTTTGTCCCCCAGCAATTCCCAGCACAGGGGGGCTGCATCTGCATGAGGGATGGGGAAGGGTGCCAGGAATCGCCTCCTGTGGATGGGGGGTACCGGCAGCTCCCCCCAGGGTGAGGGGACACAGGCACAGGAGGAGGGGACGTGGGGCATGAGTCGCAGCGCTGGCTGGGGCTCGTCCTTGGGCAGAGCCTACCAGGACAGGGCTGGCTCCCCACTATTGATGGTTCCGCTAATGATGCCGGCGTGTGACTGGGGGCAGGAGCAAGCGGCGCTGGGTCCTCATCGACCCGTATTGACCGGCCCCGTGTGGTGAAGGGCATGGGGTCTGTGGGGGGATGTCAATGGGTTGTAACTAATGGGAACGGTGCCACGTGCGCGGGGCTGGGGTGGCTGAGTGCAGTTATAAACAGCGGCCGGCAGCCCCCGAGCCGCAGCATCGAGGAGCCCCCGAGCCCAGGTAAGGCGGTGATGGACGTGGGGTCCCCTTGGCGCGTAGGGACAGAGGGGCAGCATGACCCATGCCGTGCTATGCCGAACCAGGCCATGGTGTATACGCTGCCCTGCTCTGGCTTTGTCCCTGCTGCAGGGCCCTTCCTGCTCCAGCACTGCTTCCCAGATCATCCCAATGCTGGTGCAGGCACCCAGGAGGGCTTCAGGCACTGAAACACCCGCAGCTTTCAGCCTCCACTTCTCTCCTTCTCTTGCAGGGAGCTGAGCCCTGGGTCCTGTCCACCTGCCTCTGTCTGATATGTTTGATATTAGGTTGTTTTATTGGAAAACCAACTAAATATCAAACATATTCTTACAGCGCCAGGAACACGCGGCGCTGACCCATCCAGTTGCTGCCTGCACCCTTCCCATGGGTGTCCCCCCCATCGAGTGTCCCCACATGCCCCTTCCCGTATCCGTTCCGTTGCTGCAATGACACCCATCTGCCCATGCTCCATGGGGCCGGGCACAGGGAGTTGCGGAGGTTTGGGATGGTGGCAGGGTCAGTGCTCACGCCACTGGGATGATCCCAGTACAAAGGCGCGTGGCCCAGTGCCCATTGCTGCCTCCGCTGCCCCAGTGCAGGGCTATTTCTGGCTCCTAGGGGCATGGAGATGCAATGGGACCATTCATGGGTGCTTGGCTCCCTGCCTGAGGATCATGGAGCTGCCAGCAGGGTCAAGCTTCGTCTCCTGGGCCCCTGGGTGCTGACCCCAGGGGCTTGGCTCATGGGACTATTGCATGCTTGGGGCTGGCGCTAATCCCCGCGGCTGCATGGGAAGTGCTGCCAGCCACCCTAGGAATTCCTCCTTGGGCCTGGGGAATTCACTCCTTCGGCTGCCAAAAGCATCTTATGCCTCACGGCCAAGCACCAGCACAGCCGGAGCTGGGCTCCAAGCTCTTCGGATGCTGCTCCTGAGGTGTGGGACCGGGTGCATCCAGCTGCCCTGGGGTCTTCAGCTAAACCCTGTGCTTAATGGAGCGCCAGGCTGAGCCCCTGTGGTCTGCACCAGCCCTCGGCATGGGTAAATGTCACCCGGGGGCCACAGGGACACCCTTATGGCAGGCAGAGGTGGGGGGGAGCCGCAGGGACCCAGATCAGTGCCCCGAGGTGGGTGACGCCAGCCCTCGTGTCTCATTGCATGGAAGGGTGCGGCCAGGACAATGCAGGAGCCCCCCTGCTCGCTGCTTTTTATAACCACCCCAGCTGTCCTCAGGAGCCCAAATAAGGCTGTGGGGCCCGGACCCCCCCAGGGCACACAATGGGTACCAAGCACTGGCTTTTTGGGGAGGTGGAGAGTCAGCTCTGGCCAAGAAAGGCAAAGTGCCCGCGGCGGCAGGCAGAGCAGAGCTGATAAAGAGCCTGGGGCAGCAGGGCTAGGGCAGTCCTGCCACCCGTCCTGCCCGTCCTGTCCTGCCTGTCCCGCTGCGCCACCGAGAATGGAGGCCATCAAGAAGAAGATGCAGATGCTGAAGCTGGATAAGGAGAATGCACTGGACCGGGCAGAGCAGGCAGAGGCAGAGCAGAAGCAGGCAGAGGAGAGGAGTAAGCAGGTAGGGCGTGTGGTAGGAGCTGGTTTGGAGGTGGCTTCTTGTGCTGCACCACATTGAGCCCAGACCCGGCATAGGCTGTGGCAAAGGGGGATCCTGGTGGCTTCTTGGTGGCATGTGGGACACTGAGGGATGGACACTGTAGGACACAACCCAGGGATGGACACTGGCCCTGAGATAGAGCCGGAGGGGTGCCGTGGGTCAGAGCCGGGATGGGGCAGGAGGGATGCCATGGGGCAGAGCTCAGCCCGGGATGGGGCAGACATGGCTCTCTCCGTGAGGGGATCCACGTAGGGTGACCATTGCTGCCGTTCCAGCTGGAGGATGAGCTGGCCTCCATGCAGAAGAAGCTGAAGGGGACAGAGGATGAGCTGGACAAGTACTCAGAGGCTCTGAAGGACGCTCAGGAGAAGCTGGAGCTGGCGGAGAAGAAGGCAGCGGACGTACGTACGGGCACGGGGGAAGGGCATTGCCAGGGGACAACACATTGGAGAAGAGAAGTCTCCTTAAGGGGAGCCCCCAGAGCAGCTCCAGCGCCTAAAGGGGCTGCAGGAAACCTGGAGAGGGGCTTTGGACACAGGCGTGTAGGGACAGGCCAAGGGGAATGGCTTTAACCTGCCCGAGGGGAGACTGAGATGAGCTCTTGGGCAGAAGCTCTTCCCTGTGAGGGTGCTGAGGCGCTGGCACAGGGTGCCCAGAGAAGCTGTGGCTGCCCCATCCCTGGCAGTGTTCAAGGCCAGGTTGGACACAGGGGCTCGGAGCAAACTGCTCCGGTGGAAGGGGTCCCTGCCCGTGGCAGGGGCTGGAGCAGGAGGAGCTCCCTTGCTGGGCACTTGGAACCCCCCCGCCACACATGGGCCATCTCGCAGCGCGCCCCCCACCTCCCGCCACGGCGGCTCCTCGTCTCCGTGGCAACCCCCGGGCGGGGCGGACGGAAGTGACGTCAGTTCCTGGGCGGTGGGGCCTCGTTCCGGTGTGTCGGGGCGCGGCGGGGCCGGGAGTGCAGGATGGCGGGGGCTACCACCATCGAGGCTGTGAAGCGCAAGATCCAGGTGCTGCAGCAGCAGGCGGACGACGCCGAGGAACGGGCTGACCGCCTGCAGCGGGAGGTGGAGGCCGAGCGCCGCAACCGCGAGCAGGTACCCGCGGTCGGTGCCAGCGCCGGGGGTGCCGCGGCTGCGGGCACCGGATCTCCGCTGTTCCGACGGGCGGCGGCTCGCAGCGATCGGGTCCCGCCCGCCGCGGTGGCTTCGGGGCCTCGGGGGGTCCCCGCCGCGAGTCCCGGGCCCGGTTGTTGCGGTGGAGCTGCCTTTCAGCGTTACCGGGGCTGGAAGCGGCTGGGCCCGGGGGTCCGTGCTGCGGGGGAGGGAGGGGAGGAACCAGCCATCTTGTGCGGCCCGGCGCTGCGAGCACAAAGCTGCGGGCGGCCTCGGCGTGTGCGGGGAAAATGGAAGCGACCTACAGGGTGCGGGATCCGTCCCGGGTTCCTCCCTGCGAGCGGGGAGCCCCCCGCCCCGGCGCGGGAGGGCTCGGGGGAGCGTGAGAGGGGCTGGGCAGGGGTCGGGCTGCAGGCGCTGGGAGGGGAGGGAGGGAAGGAAGGAGAGAAGGAAGGAAGGAAAGAAAGAAAGAAAAAAGGAAGGAGCAGCGAGCAGCGCTGGTGCAACCAGCTCCAGGTCGGTGTCTGGGCCGTGCTGCAGCTGTGGGGCTCCTCGGGCTCTGCTGCCGATGGAGGCTGGTGGCAGAAGCTTCTGGCCACTCCCAGGCTTCTGCCAGGCTCTCGCTTTGCAGCCACATAAGGAATTCTCTGGCACGGGTGGTGGTGTCAAGGGAACGGGTGTTTCTCCGCGCTTGCTGGAGCCCTGCTCCAGGGGAGGGGATCCGTGCTCCCAGTGCAGTGTGGCCTGTGCTTGCCTCTGGCCTGGCTCATGGCTCCTGAGGAGTGGCCCCTCGGTAGAGCTCCATGGCCTGGGGAAGCCAAGGTGAGCTCTGCCCTTGGCTTGCAAGGCTCCTGAGGGAAGCCCAGAGCAATGGGAATGCCTGGAAGCATCACGCCATGCTGTGGCATTTCCTGTAAGGAAGGACGGGTGGTGCTTCCGGGTGGGTTACGCGCTGCCTGCAGGAAGCCAGGGCTGGATGCCGGGGTTCAGGGCGTCATGAAGTGGTCAGGCTTCTGTGCTCTTGTGTCTCCAGCTCCTGCGAGAAGGAGGAGACTCTCCCACCGTTGCCTCTTTCACAGGCAAAAACCATTTGTGGCAGGCTCCTTCCCAGTTGTGTTTCATGGATGGGAGCACAGGAGCTTCTCTTCACCTTGTGTTCTCACACCCTGGGCTTGAAGCATGCTGTACTGAGGTGCTGAGCTCCTCCTGGCCACTTCATGGGGCTTCTCTCAGCCCTGCTCTAACACTGGCTCCTTTCATGGCTCTGCTCCTCCCTCCCATGGCCTTGCAGGCTGCTTTGTTACACACTGCTGGGATATTCCATATATGCTTGGCATGTGCACGGGTCCCTGTGGAATATCACAGTGCTGCCCTGACTTGCCTGCAGCTCTGTGTGTCTTTGTACCAGTGCTCTCGTCCCTTTGGAGAGCAGGAGTTTGGGTTCCTTGCAGTAGCTCAGGTGGGGTGTTAGTGTCCCCAGGGCATCCAGGCTTCCCCCGTGGCGGGGCTTGACACAGACTGGAAGCAGACGTATTCTGGTTGATGCCAGAGCTGTTAGAGCAGCACTGCTTTGGGCAGTGGGATGGCCACTGTCTGCTGGATCATTAAAAGCCTTGCTCCCTTTTGTAGTGACACTTTTGTAGTCACACTTCTGGCTCTCAGCAAGTGCACCAGCTCCTGGTGGGTACAGCTCTACAGAGGTAGCTGCCTGAGTGTGGCTGGTGCTGGGGAGCAGCCGCCTCAACCTGCCTCAAGGCTGGCTGAGGCTGCTGTTCCTTCTATGAGCAAACCACTGGGAGAAGGAAGCCTGGAGCCCCTCTGGCTCCCTGAGGCTTGAGCTGCAGGTTGTGGGCACTGCAGTGCCCTGCCAGTGCCCTGCCCCAGCTTGGCAGCCCTCTGGAGCTGTTCATCCCTCTTCTGTTGCTGAGGAGAGGGCTGCTTTGAAGCAATGCTCATGTCCAGATCACGTGAGGAAGCTGTGCTAAATGGTAGCTGTCACCCAGCTCTGGTGTGGTGGCTGAACACTGTTGTGATTGATGCCTGGCAGGAGCAAGGCAGCTGCAGAGAAGAGCCATTAGTGTAAGGCATCTCCTTAGTGTTGATGGCTTCAACTGTCACGTCAGCTCGAAGTGGCAGGCAGGAAACCTGCAGGCTGAGTTGCCGTGGAGCCAGAGAGCGTGTGTGTGAAGTGCTGGCATGGAGCCCCTAAGGCAGTGGGTACAGCACCCTCATTTTGTTTCAGGCTTCCCATGTGCTATCACTGACCTGAAGGCAGAGCTCAGCTGCCTTGTGCTAACAATCAGTCACCCTCATCTCTTCCCTCCAGGCTGAGGCAGAAGTGGCATCTCTGAACCGCCGTATCCAGCTGGTAGAGGAGGAGTTAGACCGAGCCCAGGAGCGCCTTGCCACAGCTCTGCAGAAGCTGGAAGAGGCAGAGAAGGCTGCAGATGAAAGTGAAAGGTGAGCAAAGGATCTGCTTTCACTCCCTCAGACATCTTAGCCCTCTTCCTGACTGAGGGCTCAGTGCCATCAACCTCCTGGGCCTCCTGGAGGGTGGGAAGGAGATACCACATCAAGGTTGCCTGTGGGAGTTGCTTATGCAGAGCAGGTACAACAATGTGTTGGCCTTGAGTGGGTATCTTAGAACCTGAGGCTAAGGACTGAGTAAGTGCTGTGTGCTACAATGCATCCCTGCCTCCAAGTGAGGCGAAATAGGTGGGTTCTGGGACACAGCTGACCTGTAAAAGTGGCTGCTGATGGGGAGGCATCTGCTTGCACTGGCTCTGCCAGCATCCTCCCTGCTGGCAGATGGCCCCTGCCCTGGTTCTGTGATTCAGAGGGGAGTGGTGCACTTCCAGCTGGCTGCTGTGCTTCACTGGTGCACATGCTTGTAGTGAGCAGCCTGACCCAGCTCATGGCCTGCCATAAAGATGGACTTGGCTCTTCCTGCCTTCCAGCCTGGAAAGTCCTTGGCTCAGCCCCTAAGACAGCCTGTCTTGTTCTTCTCAGAAGCACCACATTTCCCTTCAACCACGAGCCCAGTGAGCTGCTGGAGGAACATGCCAAGGAACAGATAATTCTGAGCAATCGAGGTTGCTGTATTTGTGTCAGCCCAGTAGTTTCTGCTTTCCTGTGCCCCCCTCTGCCCTCGGAGGTGTCATGGCTCATAAGGAAGCAGTGTGGTCCAGGGGAGCATTGTTAATGCTCCAAAGCTCGTTACACCACTGGCTTGTACATCTTTGTTTTCTACATCTCCCCTCCCTGTGCATTCTTTTGGGCAGAGGCATGAAAGTAATTGAAAACAGAGCTCTGAAGGATGAGGAGAAGATGGAGCTGCAGGAGATCCAGCTCAAGGAAGCCAAGCACATTGCAGAGGAGGCAGACAGGAAGTATGAGGAGGTGAGAACCTTGGATGCTGTAGTGCAGCTGACCCGGGCCAGGAGAGGCAGCTCCTTTTCTTGCTGACAGGGCTTTCCTCAGCAAACCTGGTGGGAGAGCCTGGCTTTCAGAGAGCTCTGTCCGTGTTCCCCTCAGCCAAAAGGCTCTGGCAGCTCCACTGACTCCTGCAGCTGTTCCCTTTAGTGCTCTGCAGAGCCTACAAATGCAGAATTGTCTTCCTTCCTCTTCACTCTAATTCTCTGTTCCAGGTTGCTCGAAAGCTGGTGATCATAGAAGGAGATCTAGAGCGTACTGAAGAGAGAGCTGAGCTTGCAGAGTCGTGAGTAATCTGCTCGCATGTAACTGGCACATCTGTCTTTGCATGGGAACTAACACAGCATTCCTAACCTTGTTACACAAGGCCTGAAGCACAGGATGAGTTTAGATCCTCAGAAGAATGTCTTGGAAGCACTCTTCTGCTCAAAAGAGGATCAGGTCCACTGAGGATGTGGAGTTTGCAATTATACGATTTGCCTTTTAGTGGAGATGTTTTGCCCCTTCACATGGAGGCACTCCCTAGTTAGCCAGGCCAGAGAACCCATCTCCACTCGGTGGCCACCAGCACTGCTTTGTGTACATGGTCACAAGATCCTTACACATTGCTAACAGAGCACATGAGGGCACAGCACTTCTCGTGCAGCAGTGGAGGCCTTATGGGCCAGGACTGAAGTGGCATGGAGAATGTCCAAGGGCAGAACTGGGGCTGATCTTGGTCTTTGGCCTCTTATCCTTTGCAGTAACCACTGCAGACTTGTGCAGTGGTGAGCAGTGAGCTGGGCTGCCTCTGCTTGGAGCACACATGCAGACTGTGGTGTTTGGGCACCTTTCACATGTCCAGATGCTTTAGCCGATCCTTGAGGAGCTGGTCAGGTCCTTGCTGTACTCTGGGCCTTGTCTAACAAAGTTAGTGTGTTTGTAGCAGTAGCACTGTGCTTCCTGCCCAGACATGCATGTCATGACTGTGACTTCTTTGTGTTCTTCCCCTTCCCCTCTGTGGTGTTGTGTTCTTGGTACTCCTTTTGACCCCTGTCCCCACCTGGCTTCTGCCATCGTGTGACCGTCACTAATAGTCGTTGCCGGGAGCTGCGGGAGCAGATCCGAGTGATGGACCAGCACTTGAGGTGTCTGTCTCTTGCTGAAGACAAGGTACTAACCATTCCCTTCTGGAACCATTAAACCACAACTCTCCTGGTTTTCTTGCCCATGTTTCTTCCCTCAGCTTAACTGCATCTTTCTCCTGGAATGTTCTGTCCTCTCTGCCCATCAATGTTCCTGTCCCAGTGGTGGTGGAGGTCCATGTGTCCATCGGAACAGGTTCCCTCCTTACAGCAAACTAAATGTGCAGT